ATCAACAAATTGCATGGGTTAAAATTTTGTATTCCCTCCTGTTAATTTTTGTGTTCCCAGTACGTTCTCTCCTGTTCTGGAGCACCAAAAGGAGAAGTACTTGGACGAATAAACCCTTTTTCAAGCAGATCAGCTAGTTGTCTTTTTAATTCATTCAATTCAGCATAAGACATTTGATAGATAGGACAAGATGGAGGTTCAACACCTGGAAGTAACTCAATAGCATGGTCAATGTTCCGCTTAGGAGGTAATTGGTTTGGTAGTGTTTCAGGAAAAATATCAGAGAATTTCTGGAGGATATCTTTGACTTCAGGTGCATAATTCTTAATAGGCAGTCTATTATTATCATCAAGGTTAGCAAGACAAATTGCAAAAACTTCATCACTGGCAGGCACTTTTGCTAATTGCTGTCATGAAATAAAAATAGAATTACAACTAGATTCCCTGTGTGTGTTTCTGGAATCAGCATCAACAACAATAGTTTTTGGTCCATATTGAAATGTCAATGTATTTGCTCTCCAATTAATGCTAGGGTTGGCATGGTAGAGCCATGGTTTTCCCAATATGACATCATAACATTGCAATTTAATTACTTGTGCTGTGATTCCAGTAGTATGATAGGAACCTAATTCAAGCTTATTGATGTCAATGATCTTGTTAGTTTTAGTCTTAGTTCCATCTGCTAACTCAACAGAAATAGGTGACACATCCCTTGTTTTTAATTGATTCTTATTTATGAATTCCTCATCAATAAAATTTCATGACGCTCCACTGTCAAGGAGGATCCAAGCATGATGCCCATTAATTATACCCTTAAACCAAAGCAACCTTTCTTGATTTCCTTCCACTTGTGTTAGTTCTAGACTATTGTTAACAAGAGGTGGTTGTTGCTGCTGTTGTTGTTCATCTTCAATGTTAGTAAGTTTGGCTTTTCTTCTACAGTCCCTTGCATAATGTCCTGCTAGGCCACATTTATAGCAATTTCCTTTAAATTGTTTCTTATCATTTCCTCTATTATTGTTGTTATTATTATAAAAATTTCGTTGAGGAGTTTCTACTTGGTCCAATTCCATTGGTACATACCTACCATTACTATTATCATTACTACTGTTATTGTTATTATAATTATTACTACTGCTACTGTTATACTGAGTAAATTATAGTTTCTTTGGGTTCGTCCTGAACGGGAGGATTTTGTATGTTGATTATTATTTGCAAAGAGTCTTCCCATCCCAAACATTGCAGTATCATATTGGATAGCACATGCTATGGCTCTTTCTAATGTATCAGGGGCTTGATACGCCACTTCCATTTTTGTTGCTGGCTTCAGTCCTTCTATGTAATAGGTTACCTGGTCCAATTCTCCCATGTCCTCAATCTGGCCAATTATATTTTGAAATTGAGACGTGTATTCTTGCACCGTGCTGGTTTGTCTAAGTCTTTTAAGTTGTTGTCGGAGGTATTGTTGAAAGTTGGGAGGTTGGAATGCAGTTCTTACAGCAGTTGCAAAAGTTGCCCAGGTAGTATATGGTGGGGTGTTATTATTTCCTACTACTTTGTTTAAATACCAGTGCAAGGCTGCATCTTTGAGTCCAGTTGTAGCATAATTGACTTGAGTGGCTTCGTTCGTGATTCCTTGAGTTCTTAAAACATTTTGTGCTTGTAGCAACCATGCCACGACATTCTCTTTCGATTCTCCTTTAAAGGGAGGAATTTGTACAGAAATTTTCGGAGTGGCTGTAGGAGGATTCTGTTGTTGTTGACCCATAGCCTGAGTTAATTGTGCCAAAGCAGCTATCAAGTTATTTATGTCAGTCATTTTTATTTCTAACGCCAAAAAAAAAATTTTTACTAGGTTATATGTGTGTTGTATTAAATGTGTTAGTATGTGTGTGTGTAAAAAAAAATAATATGTGTATGTGTATGTATTTAACATCCGCTGCTACCAAGTTGTAAGAATTACTTTTCTTAACAAGAATAAAAACAATATTTTAACACGTTTGTCGAACAGGTACTTTAATTATTGTAAAAATACAAGTTATCTTTATTATCTTAAAAATGATGTCCTTTATATAATAAAATTACATAGATTGATATGATATAAATAAAATATAAATAATAATAAAAGATTGATAAAATATAAATAAAATAATCATAATAATTCTTATCAATCTATCCAGAAGATTTGTGGACATAGATAAATAGTAAATAATAAATAATAAATAAAGACACAAAATAATTGATGTCACAAATAATGATTAATTTTGTGTCATGTTTCCAGATGTACTACACAAGACGTTGTATATGATTACAAAGTAAATTGTTACAACTATACATATTTACAATTATAAATAAACTTTATTTATTATTCCTAAAAAAGCAATTAAAAAAAATCACTGGTCGCTGCAGATCTAAAGTAATAGTAGATGATAGTAAAATTTGAATTTACATAGTAAAAAATTTTTATAATCGAATGCCTTACATTCTTGCTTGATATCCTCCCTCACTGTGTAGCAACCACCACCAAATCTAATAAATAGTTTTAATTGAATTAATTGTTGGTACGTACATATATTTAAAAAGAGAAAAAATTAGAATATAATTAATGATGATCTTATATTTTTTAAAAATGTCTAATTGGAAATAAAATTTATTTGATCATACTATAACAGATAAAACAAGATAGAATTATTGTTTATTTCTAAAAACAGTAAAATAGATTTTTTTTATTTTAGTTAACATAAATCAAAGAAACAGTAAATCCACCCCGTTAAACCAAATTTGTTAAACCTAAATACTAATACTAATTTTAAACAGAATAACAGGTTGACTGTGGTTTGTAGCCTAGTACTAGGCCCTATAAATATTTTAATTTTTCTTTGAAATAATCAAATTTAAATTTTTTAATAATAATAATGACATAGCAAAAATCAGAAAACATGAAAATTTTGCATGCATGTTCTACAGGACCTAGGCTACAATCCTTATACACTTATTATGTGTGATTTTGCATTATTGATTCTCTGAAATTTGCTGTAGTATACCATTTGTTCTAATAAAATCTATTTGAATCTACTAAAACAAATAAACAAATGGATAAATTTATTATTTATCAAAAAAAGAAATAAAAAAACGTTAAAGTATATAAATATGGACTGAGATTGATGTATCAAAAAAATTTTTGCAACATTAAAAATCATTAAACTTAATACATTTAAAATAAATATTTTGAATAAATTCTTTAAAAACAACACTGTTTAAATTGACTACTGCTTGTGTGTAAGGTTGTGGGCGAAATCTCCTTAGTAATTGCTGAAACCACGGCAAAACTATATTAAATCTTATCAAAATCCTGTTGAAACTATGCTGAAAGGCAAAACCTCAAAATGCGAAACTCTGCTGAAACTCTAATAAACAATTAATGTGTAACCTGCTGAAATCCTGCTGATTGATTTCTGGATGAGTTTTGGCAAGCAACCTTACTTGTGTGATAAATTCAATCATTAACACCAATGGAACAAAATTAATTATTTCATAATAAAAGCTATTTATTTGTTTATTTATTGTTGTTTTTTGATTTTAGTATTAATGCACAGTTTCTATTCATAATACAAGCTTCGCTTTATATGCTTTATATGCTTTTATTTGAATTATTATTCGTTTTATTTGTTTTATTTGCTTTTATTTGTTTTATTCATTTTATTTGCTTTTATTCATTTTATTTTGGTTTATTCGTTTTATTTTGTTTTATTCACTCGAATTATTTGTTTTATTCAAATAAAATTTGAATAGAAAACCCTAACTACTGCTCAAGATTATGATATTATTAGTACAAAGAGCTTTAGAAATAGTTAACCAATAACTTAATTACAATATAAAGAGCTATTGGTTTATTAAACTAAGCCAATAATTAATTAAAAAAAGGATTAATTTTAAAAGAATATCTGATAAATATTGGCATTTTCAATATTTACTAATAGGCTTTTAGACTATATGATAAAAATATTATTAACTTATCAGTATGCTAATACCTTGATTATTTTTTTAAAGAATAATCAGATTCTGATATTTGCTGATACCCCATTACCCAATTTGGCATCATTTGACCAGTAAAAAGAGAACCAATAGATTATATACAAGCAAAGAAAGATGGGACTCTAAATTGGTACAAAAGAATTTTAAATCATGCACAAACACGATGGCTTGATTGACACAGTGGTGCAGTCTTGGTTTCCATGTAATTTTTTTATTGTATATTTTAAATATAATTAATCATATGTCTTTAATAAAACAAACATGACTTAGCTATTCAATCATTTCCTTGCATGTGAATGCCTCCATCCATCAAATATTCACAATGGTCATGATTATTATTCAATACATTTGATATCATCATTGACATAACAAACAATTGCATCACCCAAGTAGTAACAATACCAAGGCCATGCAAAAATGAAGCTTTAATAATGCATGTCTACCCAGATCTCTGGGGTTCACAATAATAAATTACTTTTCCTGATTATCAATTATGGTTGCTCATGAATAATAAATCTGATGATATTGATCACAGGTATCAGATTTAGTAAAACTTTCCTATCACAAACATGCAATGCAGTGCTCTTAACACGCCTATAACCATGGAATTTTTTTTCCACAGAGAGGTTTCACACATGTTGGAAGGCTTTGGACAAAACTTTCCCTATCTTCCTTTCAGACCAGGCTTGGCTGTTACCATATGGGCATTGATCACTGATGAGGACCAGCATTTGTGTGATGATTGCTTTGTGTTCAAAATTCTGCAACTCGGGAGGTTGCAATCTGGGTTGCTGTTTTGGATTCAGAGTTTTGAGTCCTGGGTTGCTGTAATTTTTATGAAAAGAAAAGTATTAATATTTAACAATTAATTATTTAAATGTTTATTTTGTTGAAAAAAATATACATTGATAGTGTACATTTTCTGTGCTTAACATCCATGTGACCCTAAGTCTGGACAAAAGATCCCTTTCTATGAGCTTGGCTGGTATATCTCAAAGGTGTCTCCTGTCTTGCCAGTGGCATGCTTACTCACCAACAACTCTATCCCCATTTAAATAACAAATTCAGTTGGTCAAATAAAATTAAAGAGAAGCAGAAATTTTATGAAAATGATTAATTTATAACAAAACATACCAAACAAAATCCGAATCTTTTTATGACTTTTTTCCCATTGGCCACATTGCTGACAAAGATGTATATAATCATGTGATAATTTTAACCTACAGGACAGGGGACTGATTGGACAAAAACCCATTCAGTCCCCTACCCAAAATTATAAATTGGTTAGTAACAGAGAAACAGAGCATTTATGAAAATGATTATACAAAACAAACACTATTTTACAACTTCCCTCTTAACATCAGAGTCCAAATGCAATTTCAGGGCCACAAACCCTGCTCTGAATTGCGACCCCCTGTGCTTGAAACGAGTTGTAGGTTCTTGTTGCTTTGATGGATCTGGATATTTACATGGCACTACAATTCATCAGCAGAGTTGCGACTTGGTCACAGTACCATCCTTGTCCTAGAGGCAGGGTCGTTGCAGGTAACTTTTCATCCAGCATGGCAGCAGCCTTCTCTGGTCTGGGAAGATTAGTGAAAGTATCATTGACGATTGATGCAGTCTCAGTAAACTCCAGGGCCATGCCCCCGCCCCCTGGAATTTGTTGCATCATTGTATACATCGGAGGGAGCAGGTCAGATTAGCCTTATGTACACGAGGAAGATGTGAATGACTGTAAAGTGTTCAAGGTAGCGTGTGTGCTTCAATGCCTGCCAATTTCCGATAATCAAATGTTGCATATTTGAAATGTTTCTTTTTCAACAGTGTGCTGCCTTGACATCTTCTTTGTAATTATAATATATTTATAATAATACTAATAATATTGATTACAAAAAGTAAAATATTATCAATGAAAATCTTGTAATTACCCAAGAATGATCTGCTCCGCGTTTTGATTTCCAATTAAAATATTAAAATATTTATATAAAATAAAAATACACCACATACATATCAATACAAGTAAAAAATAGTACCTCTGGTTAATTATTAACACTTCTTCTTTAGGAGACCAAAACCAAACCAAACAACAACGTTCACGTTTTGTCACCTTTGACTCTGTCAAAAAATAAATTGTTTTTCCAAAAAAAAAAAAAAATCAATTCGCGTCTGTCCTACCAAAAAAAAAACCAATAGGATAAATAATTAATGTGTACGCGTCGATCACACAAACTTCTTTTTAAAAATTAATAAACAAAATGTCTTCAAGAGGATCGAAAAAAAGAACCAAACAAACCTCAACCAAAGATACATATGAGTAAGTGTTTTAAGGATGTTGATGGTGGTTATCGCCTGCCACTCGTCGTTACTCTAGTTTTTTTTAAATGACTGACTTGTATTTGTATTTTTAGTCAAAATGAAACTGAACACGACTCTGAAAATTCCTTCAATGTTAAAAAAACATCAAATGAAGCTGAGGTTTGTTTATGTTACCTCTTGACACAAATTGTACTTTGGGTTACTTAATAAGTTTTTCTTATTCTCAAGCATAACTCCATGAATCCTAATAACAACCAAATTGTTTACGAAAATATACAAATATTAAGCACTCATGACCAAGATGTAAATAATCCGGAAATTGATAGTATTATTGTGGATAAGGTATTTATAATGAGGATAGTTTTTTTATTTTAACATAATCTTTTAAACAATATTTGAAATTTTCATTACTATTGCAGATATCTGATTTGATATTTTCCAATTTAAATCTTGAGGAAATTTGGGATAAAGTTATGGAAAGATTAAAGCAAGAAAATTTGCGAGTGCAGTATGTTATAGTAATGATTTGTAACTGTATGCTTTTAGCAAATAATATTCATTCTCCGCTCAATTACTAAAAAAAAAAATCCAGGTCCATTGAATCACGAATTGTAGATCTCTCAAATTGGAAGAAAGTCGATTGGGGCAGAATACTAAAAACATCGGATTATGCTCAATTGTTTAACAGATCAAAGAAGAAATTATATAAGGATTTAATTGACAAGGAAGCACAAAATTTGTTACATGATGGATGTGGCCAAATAGTAGGTTAATTTTTTTTTGTTCATAGTTACCTTGCTTATAACATATTTATAGATTATTATTGTATTTTTATAGAGATCATTAAATGATTTAAAATTATGGAAAGACAAATTCTCAATTTTAAAATCTGAAGATGCCCAATTGACTGCTGGAATTATTGAATTTTTGTAAGTTATGGTTGAATATTTGAATGGAACAAAATGGAAGGTCATTGATTTTTTTTTATGGATACTAACTGAAATTTTATTTAGCCATCTCTGTTTACGGAGGGAAATAAACATTCTTGTAATGCAACATCGGGAAAGAGATTACATTGTCAAGATACTAAGCCCAATTATTGGATTCATATTTGAAGAATTTGATATTGGCACTTTCGAGCTTAACTGGTAGGTGTCAAAATTTTACATTGCAATGATCTTCCAATAATATCAACTTTTAAAATTTTTTAGGATTGAAAAAGACTCTCATAGTGTTACATGTAGAAAGCGAAAATTTGTACACGAAGAATATATGGAATTAGAACCACCATCGAAAAAGATGGATTTAATAATATCATTACGTTCTTACAAAGTCGAATTATTGACGCTTGAAGCAGGGAATACTGAAGGTCCCATGGATGATACCAAGTTCCGGCAAGATCATTCTAAAATCAAAATAGTAATGAAGGACTGTCTTGATTCCTTTTGGAATAAATTACATTTTAAAAAAAATGAACTTGAAGAGGTCTTTGTAATGGGCATTCAGATTACAGGTATGTGTAAAAATGCATCTTATTTATTTAGTGCAATTTAAGTTTTTTCTGCTAAAATTTTTCTTATTTGGTATAGGCACAAGGTGGACGATCTATTCCCTTGTATACAATACTTCAAAAAAATTTTATTTTTTTACTGAGATGGTGACATTGACGTTGCCAACAATTTTATCTGAGATGGAAGACCTTTTGCCAGATTTCTTGGAAAATCTTCTAGCATTACGGGTATATATGGCTATACATGATATATTTTCCTTTCCAATCATTCCACCAGTGTTCACATTATTTTGATTTTTATTATTTAGCATACACAAATAGAATTGGTTGCAAAGATTCGAAAATATTCTCAAAAAAGTCTCTCTACTCCATCTCCACCCTCATCACCATTGCATGAAACTACAGAGTCTCCTTTGAAAAAACAAAAACAAAAGAAAGATCCTTTTTGTATCTTAGACAACTTATACTAAATAAATAAATTAGTATGGCGGATTTGTCTTAGGAGTAAAGTTGCTTGCTGAAGCCTTTTAGTGACTGTCAAAACTCTAATGAACAATTAGTATATACCTTGTCAAAACTCTGATGTTTGACAAAACCCCCAAATGCGAAACTCTGCCGAAACTCTAATTAACAATTAATGTGTAACCTATCAAAACTCTGTCGATTGATTTCTGGAGGAGTTCCGTCCACAACCTTACTACTTAGGAGCCTTGATCTTCAAGCGGAAATCATATTTCGTTTTAACTATAACTGGTAGAAAAGTTTTGATTCACAATTCATATAATGAATTGTTTATGATAATGACAATATCTTCAATATTTTCACAAATCTTTTGCATTTTACATAAATTTACAATTGTGGCATCTATCAATGTACATTTACAATGAATGTTTTTACATGGTATTACTTGCTAGGTCTTAATGTCAATGTTAACAAGCTTTTAAACGAAAACGTGACAGCGAGCTTCGTGTCTTTTACTCGCACAACGACATCACTCAGGGTCAAGAC